GGTTGCAACCATCCGGACGATGACAATTTCTTTTTATTTTCGTGCCATCCCCTTTCGTTCGTCCGAAGGGGGAAGGGGCTCTCCACTTTTATCCTTTCCCTTTGCCCCTTCCCTTCTCTTCTCTCGACTTGGATCTTGTCCTCTTTCCTCCGGATCTCTCCGGTCTTTTCTTCTCTCCTTGCTTTCTAAGATTTTTTTTTTTGCTCCATCTGTGCAGAGATCGTTTTGTATATCTTTCGTGAAACGTGTCGATCTTGCGCGATCGTGTTTAATAATGGCGCGCAAGAGTAGGCTTGATAAAATGGACGAACGAGTTTTGTTATTTTTATTCTATACAAAAAATAATCGTGGAAATAATTTGGTTTGGCGTTTGAAAGGGTATGATTAGATTAGAAATAAATAAATAAATGCAAATTTTATTTTTTTAAGGTAATTTTATTATTATTTCACATAGATACAGTTATTATTATTGTTATTTTAAATTAGAAATTTTTCCAAAATCTAACGTAGATTATAAATAGATGAGGTGACTTCGTGAGATAAAAATCTTAAATTATCTTCTTATGAATTCTTCGAGTTAAAATTTGTCGTAAGAAACATTTCAATCCTCCTGTCTCAACAAACTTTCTGCCTCTCGCGTTAGTAAACAAATAGGATTGTCGTACAGTTTTTGAGAACAGATTTTTCCTTGTGCAAATATTTTTAATACATTCCTCCATCGTCCTCGAAAGATTCTCTTTCTAATTAAAAACGACACTGCTTTGAGCTTTCGTCTCGTTAACGCTCCATGCGAGGGCATTCCTGTGCCACAATGATGTAACAAACTTCGGTTAATCTTTTAAGCCGGATAGCCCAAGTTTCGCGTTTCAGTTCGTTCGTTATTTTCTTCTTCACCGAGTGGGGAAGGAAACTCGGATCTTGAGTTTCGATGAATGGAAGGGAAACGGGAAGGGTCAGTTCGTGAAAGTTGCACAAGCAGAGATCCCCTTCATCCTTTCTTCGTGTATGTATTCCCTTGAGGTCTTGTCTTGCTCGATATTATTTTCTTTCTCGATTTCTTTTTTTTGTTTTCTCCTCGATCCGACGTACCAACACGGATGGCGCAACTGTAAGAAAAATTCATTTATCGAAATCGAACGCGGGGGGAAAATTAAATACAATCGAGAGGAACGATGGTAATTTGGAGATTGGACGTAAGAAGATTTTCATAATAAATTATATAATATCGTAGATTCTTATATTTTCTTGTAATATTATAATTTTCTTGTTTTCGTTGATTAATTAGGGATAAATATATTTGAATCGTGATGTATCATGCACGAGATAATAATTGTAGTGTAATTTTAATGTAAATCGAGATTTCGAGATGACAATTCTTCTCTTTTATTAATTCTCCATTATTATATTAGAAGTTAATTAGTTATATTAAAATCAATGATTGAATAATATCTATATAACAACATCAAACGCATTTATATAGATTAATTCAATTGATAATATCGAAGCATTATAAATGACGGACCACAGATATGTGTAAACGGATTAATATCGAATACAATTCTTCATCGAATCATTCGTAGAAAGTACAAATCATTTCATTATATATAAAATCTAAAAAAAGGGAAATACAAGTTAGACTTAGAATTAGGATTAAAAAATTATTATTTTCAACACTACTCACCATTTGCATTTTTACGAAAGTATCCCTCGATGCCTTCCTTTTTTCCCCCATGTTTTCAACAAAATTCCTTCTTTCTTTCCTCTTCTATTTCTCTCTTTCTCTCTCTCTCTCTCCTCAAACAAGCGAGAAAAGTCTAGCTGGGGCTTTTCCCTCCAGTTTCACACGATTAATTTCCCTTATGCGATCAGAGTCGTTAGACCGAGGAAGATAAATCTGACGTGGCGCCTGGGGATTTCATCCCGGCTCGTTAAAAATGGAAATTACCGGCATTTTAAAAAGCTGATCTCACAGAGCGTGTGGAACAGGGTGGAAAAAGTTGGCGGAATTTGGCCAGGAACTCGTTCTTCCGCAAAATCTACCGGGTCTAACGAGTTCTTATTATCCCCGTCATCGTTTCGCCTTTTCCTTCCACCGATCAATTCTTCTTCCAAGAATCGTGGTTCAACGAATCCGTTGGTATCCGCGGTATTAACTCGTTGATTTCGAATCGCGGTGGTTCCGAAGATCGTTTCGAAAATGGCGAGACATTACCAGTTTTTGGTCTTGGACCAGTTCAGCTCGTAGTGCTGCTACTGGTGATCGGAATTGGGACAACGTGTTATTGGGGGACAAGATGTAGAATACGCGTTAGCGTGATTTAATGATCGATGGATTGGTAATTACGATGGATTTAATTATATTGGATAGATAGATTTTGATACTTAGTGGAAAATTGTAGGTCTCGAACGAAGATTTATGTTATTCCATTAGACATAGTTTTTAGAAAAATAATTTAGGGGTTTAGGGATTTTTTGATAATTTAATTAATAATTTAATAGTTAGATTTGATTAAAGTTAAAGAAGATTTCAAAATTCAATTCTTTAATAATTTTTGTAAATTAAAATAAATATTTTTTTATAGAATCGATACGTTTTCTTATTTTTTCACTATATATATAAAAAATATATATCGTATTTGTGTTGTAAAATGATTACAACACAAATACAATGATTATAAAATATTTCAATTTTAATTTAAATTTACAATAGTTTTTCTTCGCGTGCTAAATAGTTTTATGAACTTAGAATTAAAATATTTTTTTTCTAAATACTTTAATCCTTTTTTTTTCAAAATTGAAGTTAAAAAAATATAGAAATTACTTCGATCTCCGTTCATTTCTGAAAGATCACGCATCATCATCCGATATCGTTTAATTCTGTTTAACAAGAGATATTTTTCTATCTTCGAGCATTTAAAGAGTGAGCCTAATTGAGCGAAACATCTGGTATTTGAGGGATTTTTGCGTACAAGAGATATATTTCGCGTTAAAATTATACATTTGATTAAAATAGAAAGTGTATAGGGTGCTTTGATGTCTCTGATTATACAGCGTTATTCGTATTAATGATCGGTATTATGTGTTGTTGACTGTTAAACCGAATTCTATGTCACGTATTGATCTAAATCGGATACAAGGGTGCACTGATTGGCAGACCTGCGAATGATTAAACCACG